TTCTATTTTGTCACTTCTTCGATAAGGGTTCTTTATTACTGTTGAAGTTAAAATAAACATAAAAATGTTAGTATGTTGATTTACATTTACTAGACTGAAAAACCGTTCAAACTTTATTTTGTATTGGTTGTTTGAAACTTCTTATTGATGTTTAGGAATGTAATTGACCAGTCTTTGTTGGCGTATATGCATCTTGTTTGAATTGCCACGACATTGCTTTGAATCACTAACATTATATGCAGAGATGGATGGTGGATAGCAGTGGAATCCAGGACACGCGTTTCGTCCCATCTGGGTCTCTTCAGCTGGATGTACCTGCATGTCAGGATTGATGTTCACTCTATTAATCGAATATAATGCTGTTTGCTTTAAACACCATCGAGTTATCTACTTAGCTTCTGAGTCACAATCCACCTTTGTTTATAATCGTTTTGACTTAAGGAACTATCGAGGCAATCTAAACAAGATGCACATATACCAATAACAGACTGATCAATTACAGTCCCAAACACTGATGGGAACATTGAAACAACCAATGTAAAAATGAATCAAAACTTCATTCAACTGTACAAGCTAGTGGTTGATTGGACTCGGTAGGTAAGTGAATAATACGATGGCATTTGAAGCGAACGGTACTGCGTTTGAATTCTAGTGTGAAAATCAATCCTGAGATGCAGGTACATCCAGCTGACGAGACTCAGATAGGACGAAACGTGTGTTCTGGATTACACCGCTAGCCACCATCCATCTATGCTTACAATGTCGCCTACAATAACGAAAAATTGCAGATAACTATGATTTCTAAAAACAGAACATCAAATTAGACGATTTTTATGAAGATTTTATATAACATGAAGATTATATTCATCAGTGAATGAAATCAACTGATGATCCGTTGATAACCAGTAAGAGTTAAATAACTGTTATGCTTGAGGTTGATGTAATTTACGAATACCCACACAGATCATACAAGAAATTAAATACATTATATCCATCTGAAATTGCGCGTAATACAAATTACCTTTAAAATTACAAAATAATTTTGAAATGTCGTACATAATTTCTTTGGAATGTGTTCAATGTGCACACTTTAGAAATTGAAGATTACTGGTCATTACAATAGATAAATGTAGGCGTTTTATATTTAATATTTTTTTGTGAAAAATGTTTCAGTTGGATAATCAAAGATGTTTCGAGTGAATTTTATCGTGAGAGGTAATGTTTATAATCATATGGATTCGCCCATAAAAGTTTTCCCTATAATTGTTTATTTTTTCAAATACAACGCTGGTCACAATCTAGTTAGATTGTAACACCATTAATCTTTTTTGGAAAGTAAAAGAAACTGATCGTCACAAAAATAAAACAGTTACAGACGTCGATCAAATTGTTGCTATTGTTATTACTTGTTATGAATCAGCGACTCCTTGTTTTTCCCAGAATCCATTCTCCTAACAAAATTAATCTAAAATGTAGGAACAGCTTATAGCGTCCTCATGCTGTATAATTCTGTTCATAAATCAAACTATAGCTTTTGTCTGTGATTATATGTTATTTTAACAAGCAAAAATGTTCACAAATACCTAGACCAGATGATTTTGATTTCAAATTCGGGTTTTCTTGGTGTTATGCTGTTCAGTCAGAACTCCGCCTGGGGCCCTTCTGGGGTTACTGTCGGTCCCAAGCCTGGATAAAAGAGGAGGGTTGGGCATGGGGTTTGTGACCCCATCCTGTAGAAAACTAACTGGCTAAAAACACTAACTAGATGTTCAGTCAGTCATTATGTATGTTACACAATTGCTCAGTTGAGGTAAGAGACAGTAATAGTTATTTATGGAAAATAAATTATAAAAGTCTATCTTATTAGTGGTAATAGTATCATACCCGTCTCAGTAGAAATGAAATGTATGGTAATTAACTTTGAGCACCCATCAGTAACTATACATTGTTCTATTAAGAGGTTCATTAAAGACGAGAAATAGTAACGAATAAGAAGCAAAAGTTTATTTTAAATTTAAAAATTACAGAAGCAGTTTCAAAAAGTGGATTAAGTACCTTTGTCAAACTGGTTATAGCCACACGATCGAATACATACATAAATGACCAAATTCCACTATCCACTTCATTTTAACACTGAATAGGCAAACAGATGAACATTAAATAATTTCTTTAAGTACGATTATGTAAATTGTTATAGTTTGTATTTAAATTCAAAGCTTCATTCATTTAATAATCTTAAAGTGATATATCACCGCAATGAATAAGTTCAACTACGGGGGAAGTTTAAAGATAATTGAACATCGAAACTTCTATTATAGTTTTATTTACTACATCTGTATTAGGGATTCTAGATACCCGGAAATCACTTGTAAGTTTCTCATTTTCGTAACTTTACTGTTGAAATCTGAATTTTTCATTTTCAACCCAAAGTGCCCATTTTTATCTTGAGTTTGCGTTTCTCCCCTGCAAAGATCTTAAATTAATTGTTTCGTTCCTCTTTTAGTACTCTATTTTGTGACATTCTTCAAGGACATTTTTGTATAGTACATATACCCCTGAGTTGTATGCTTGTCACTCCTTCGTCTTGGCTGCTTCTTGAATATATGTTTCCTCGAATAAATCTAATCTTCTCCCTCTAGTTAGCAGTGTTTGAGAGCAGTGGCATAGCTTAGTTTCTCCTGTTGCTGTGTATCTGATTTTCGTTTCGTTTGCTGGTCCCAGGTGATATCTTAATCTTTTGAACATAGGAATATGTAAAGTAGTATTTGTAACTGTCATAAAATAGTCTATTTGTATTTCATTTATTGAGGGTGAGATAAATATCTACGGATGAAGTAATATTGCAAGTTGGCTTAAGTTGGAAGTATAAACCACTGGATGCTAACTCAGTGGTCTGAGAGTTTATCACTGTCTTTAAACCCTAAATAGATAAGCAAATACGGAACGCTAAGTTCCAATTGGCTGAAAATCATTAAACACAGCATGAGACGAAAAGAAAGTGCACAAAAGACATATTAACGAAATTACCAGTAAAGGGATACAAGATAGAAAATGAATGTTTTCAGTTTTCCCACATACAATATTCACAAGGCATTAATCATCAGAGTTATATTTAAGTCAATCGAGAATGTTCGCAACTCAAATGTCTTGGTGAAAGTAAGAATTTCGACCAGAAAAAGTGGATGAATTAATCATCAAACTATGTAAGACAACTTTATGAAGAGGATTAATATTATTAAACTTGTGGGAAAAGCACTTTATTCAATAGCTTTATTGTAAACTGATAAGTATGATGTTTGTTTGAGATTATCATCCGTTTGGTTTGGTAAATTAGGAGTAAGGAAAGGTATTTACTATTGTGATTGGGTTTGATTTCCCATAATATTTCAGTTGCTTTAAAAATGTAATAGAACTTCATATGATTCTTCTCTTTAATTGTTGTACTTTATGTCAGGTAGTTGGGTGGAAAATTGCCGTCATTTATCACACTCTGTACAAAATTCAGCATTTACTCCCATATTTATTTATTTAATTTAACACATAGATATCGGTACAAGAAGGCACCAAATACATATGCGCCACACAGATATCAATTGATATGTGTGAGGGCTGTGATACTGCCCGGGTGCCCAAACCGAAGCAGGTGGTTTACTTAGGGGGCCACACCCCCAGCCTTCGACCTGAATGTCTGACCCACAAGGCAGTAGAGCATCGTAAGGAGATGCAGTCCTATGGTAGCCGGTGACCGACGATTGGTTCATACGCCATTTATTCCTTCAGGATACTGGAGCCCATGTGCACTATTGAGTTGGAATCCGGTTAAAGCGCCGGACATTAGCTTTCCGTTCTCTCATTTTCGTAAACAACAGTAAGCCACGAGAAGGCATTGAGTAGGACTTTCCTGGCAGAGGCTATATACGCGTGGCCATTTGAGATCATTTCAAGAGGCAGAGCGGACTCTCGCCACTCTCGGCCGTACCAGGGCGTTTGGTATATTTTTCCAATATGTGTAAAGTGCACTTTCATCTTGGATAAATTTACGATAAATTTTCTGATTGTTGGTTTAATTAGGTGATATTTTAATGTTTATTTTGACTCTCATTGAAAATATTATTGAAAAGTAATGCAGTGACTTCATTTCTTTCCTACGCTTTGATGATACGGCTACCATTTTTTAAAGAAAATAACACGTTGTGCATAAGTTGACCTAATTTTAATGTCTAAAATATACCACAGATTGAATATTTAGTGTATTCTCTACTGCTTTTTTAGTAGCAAGACATAAAATCAAAAGAAGTAATCCGAGAAATGAGTGGTATAAATAGATAATCTCGTCATTTCCCCTGACATCAGTGTCATAAACGTTTTACAGCTACGCTTAATAACTAACATTTTATTGAGTAAATATCTTATTACACCTGTCAAAACCTGAAGTATAGATGAAACTCTTTGTAGATCTCTATTACAAAGTTGATCTACTTATGTAAGTTGATCAAATTTCAACTTAAGTTCAGTTTAATTGGGATACAGTCTTGTCTATTAAGTTGACCTTTTTTTTGTTTTAACTTTTATATTTATTTATCATCCTTGAATATGTTGTCTAGCTAGATATTTATAGAATATATATATATATATATATATATATATATATATATATATATTCAGTTAAGACCCACTAATAAAATTCAATTGCATTATATTTCTTTTAATGTCCAATAATAATTTTGAAATTTCATCATTCAACCAATCATCTAGTAGTTAGAATATTTAACTGATATCTGATTGGTGTAAAATATGTCATTGAAATTAAATTATGATTTAAATAGCTCAGGTGAATTTACGCACATTTTGTAAATTAAAATTACTTGAAATATGCTCTTTTTACATTTAAATGTAATTTGCTTTTCCCTAATACAAAAGAACATAATTTATAAAATTTCATTGTATATAACTTAGCAGAAAGTATATTATTGATGAAGGAATGCATTATTCACAGTTATATGGCAGAATATTTATTTAGTCAATTGAAATTTTTTGACTTCATAACACTTACACTGGAATTCGAGAACAAAGAAACTTTAATTATTCGTCTTATAATATTAATTTTAACTGTCAAGATGCTTTATACAACATCATTAATGAAAGTAATTCCACAGACTCCTAAAAATATAGAATCAGATAAATTCATATTTTCTTCAACTCCAGAAATCTCACATGGAACAAATCGTAGTCGAGATTTTTTTGGTTTAATAAAAAGGCGTTCAACTCATGTTAAAAGTATTTATTCACGTCATCCATTGTATCATCATGCTCCACATTGTCGTCATCAACAACAACATCAGCGTTATCATAGTCATCTACGTAAAGAATGCCCATATCTACGTATAACTCATAAACCTAGTACATCAAAACCTCAAATGACAATTCACAAATCAATAAGTAAACAACTCTCTTTACCAGTTGATTATACAGATGAGCAAAAATCATTTTATTCTTCTACTGGATTATTAAAAACTAATTCTATTTTAGGTGATGATATTGAGTCTGGATTAAATATACATGACGATGATTTGCATTCCTGTGTAAGTATACATAAATCCAACATAACAATTGAGAGACCAAATTCCTATTTCTCAGGTAGTTCTTCTTCTTTAACCTCATGTTTAAGATGCTTAAATTCAGCCCAAACCGTATCATCTCATACAAAAGCCGTTGATGAAATAAACTATGATTCAGAACCACAATGTTCACGTAATTCTGTTACATCAAATATATCAAAGTTAAAATATTTTGATGATACAGATACGAGTAATTTGTTTGATAATGTACAGAAAGATACATTTAAAGATCGTCTACTCTATTTTCCTACAATAAGTAATCAATTAATGTTGACAAATCCTACTAGACGTCCATTTTATTCTAATCACAATAATTCTGATGAGATTGAAAAATATGATAGTACTAGTACAATTGATGCTAAATTTTCTTTACCAAAAAAAGAATTGAAATTCGCTGTACCAGAATTTTTAATGCCCATTATAGATCGTCGTACATCATCACAAATAGTTAATGTTAAGCAAATATCGGCATCAACATTAAATCTTGAAAATAAATTGTTGAAAAGACGAAAAACTATTAAAGAACGTTTCAAACAGTTACACAGTGATTATGATGGTAGTAAATTTTGGAATAAATTAAATAAAAATTTTAAAATGAGTGAAGTTAAAAATTTGTCCAGTACTAGATCAAGATCAAGTATGGCTATTTCTATGGATTATACACACCATAAAGATTCTGTTTCACGATCTAGTAATACATCATGTGATGATTGTAGACGAATTACCATTAACGTAAGTGGTTTAAAATTTGAAACATGGCTAACTGTACTTGAACGTCATCCAACCACTTTATTAGGTGATTACAATAAACGTAAACCATTCTATGATGAATATCGTAAAGAATATTTTTTCGACAGGCATAGGCCTAGTTTTGAAGCAATATTTAATTACTATCAGTATGGTGGTCGATTAAAACGACCAGCTACAGTTTCTGATGATGTCTTTCTCACTGAATTAGAATTTTTTCAAATTGAATCTGAAGCATTAGATGTATATAAAAAAAATGAAGGTTATGTACCGGATATTATTGTTCTACCAGAAAATTTAATAAAACGTAAATTATGGATGTTATTTGAATATCCAGAAACATCTATATTAGCATTTACTTTCTCAATGGCATCATTTATTTTTACTGTTATTTCTATTATATTATTTTGTATTGAAACTTTACCAGTTTATGCTCAAACACATTGTGAACCTGGCGCAAGACCAAATTTTCGTGATCCATTTTTTATTATTGAAACATTATGTACATTTTGGTTTACTATAGAAATTTTTATACGTTTTATTAGTTGTCCAAGTCAAAAAATATTTATTAAAGATATTAAAAATTTAATTGATTTAGCTGCGATTGTACCATATTATATAACATTATTCAATGTTTTAATAACATTTAGTTGTGAAGGGGCGAAAAATAGTGCTAGTTTAGCATTTCTACGTGTAATACGTTTAATTAGAGTATTTAAATTAACAAAACATTCATCTGGCTTACAAGTGCTTGTTTTAACTTTTAAAGAAAGTATTGAAGGATTAAGTTTATTTCTTGTTGCATTCATTGTATGTATATTAGTATTTTCTAGTACAATTTATTATGTAGAAATTGATAGAAAAGGTTCACAAATTGAAAGTATACCAGATGCATTTTGGTGGGCTGTAATTACAATGTGTACTGTTGGTTATGGGGATAAAGTACCAAAAGGACCATTGGGAAAAGTTGTTGGTAGTGTATGTGCTGTAGCTGGTGTATTAACATTAGCTATACCAGTACCAATTATTACAGAAAATTTCAATAAATTTTATGCTCATAAAACCGGTCGTGGTAGAAGATGAACCAATTTAGCATAATCTTTTCTTTATATTTTATGTATATTATTTGTATATTTCATTCAATGAATACAAATCATTAATAGATAACAATACCATTCATAATTTTATCAAATTAGTTGTATAATTTTCATTCATTTAACCTTTATTGTTACTAACAGTCTATCTTTGACTATTAATTAATTTTTTTCTGTTTTGTTTTTAAATATTAAATCAACCAGTCACAATTCCATAAATATACATTCAACTTTTTCTTACAAAGTATCATCTCATGTTTATAAAAACGTCAACACTATTCCTCATTTTGTTACTATTATATCTATTATTTCTACAGATGGATGAAGACAATAATAATAATAACTAAGATATATTTCAATTTGAATTTACTTTTCTTTTCTATCACTTCAATAAGTAGTGTTTCTGTTGTTGAATAATTAATGTATGGAATTTCAAACTGTGAATAACTTTCTAGCTTTCTTAACCAAAACAGCACGCAAGCAAACAAACATTTGTACACATTTACTACATAATATCATGAATCAACGTAAACTTATGTAATATTAGTATTAATTAGAAAGAAAATTGATTAGTATAGATTAATTGTAAATGATTACAGAACTGAAAACATATGCATACAAAGAAATCATATTTTTATAATGATGAAATTGTTATAGATAAACTTATATTGTACAATAAATTATACTCAAGTTTATCTTATGAAATAATGTTTTTTTTTAAATAAATGATTACGTAACTTTTTCTGCCCAGTAAAAATTCCCATTTTGACGTTTAATAAAACAATGAATAGACTAAAAAATATTCTTTCCAATCAGTATCAGAAAACGTTTTGTGAATATTATAGTGATTTTAATAGTTGAGATCATAAGTCTATTGAAGTTGGACCACCATTGAAAACCTGGAAGCATTGGATGACTGTTTCGTCCTATTATGGGACTCCTCGGTAGTGTGCGTCCAAGATCCCGTCTCGTGAGCGCTTAAACTCTAGACCACCGAGCCAGCATTTAATGGTGTTAATGTTTACCTTCAACGAATCGGCGAAAATGAGCGAAACATCTACAAGTGTTTTAAGTGAGTTACTTTCTCACAACAGATCCAGTTGAACTTCATTGATCACTGTTTCTCACTAGAACTCCAGGAAATACCTCTTGAAGCCAGTCACTAGTGAGCATATGCTGATTATTATCAGAAGGGGTTTTGTGGATCATGGTGATTAAAAAATAATTTTAAGTCATTGGAAGGAAGGGAGGTGAGATGGTCAATGTAGTTATTTGGAAAAATTTAACTAAATAGTTGTTATATTACATAATATTTTGATGAAAGGTCAGTATCATTGTAACTATGCAGGAATTACAGGACGCATATTAAAAATTTATAAATATTTAAAAGTAGAAGAAATTGAAAAAATTGTCTGGATATTTTTAGAAGGATTGTGCTAATATAAGCTCAGCGAAAATTCATTATTGTATCGATGGCCAAGTTTGATAGAATATATCATATATCACTACAGAAATGAGTATATTGTCCAACCGCAGATTTTCAATGTATCTCTTCTCTTGATGTCCTATCTACTCTTCTTGTTAAGAGGATATCTATAAACGATATGCTGTTACTCTGTTCTTCCTTAAGCTTAAATATAATAGAATGATGAATGTCCTTAAATTTATTAAACAAATTGTCCCTTTCATTCTTGTCTTTTAATAATATGAAAAAATCATCTACATAACAGCCACGTTAGTCCACACTACAAGTTTCTTAAATTTACTCTTATCATTCAAAAGGGCCTTCGTTCTATTTAAATAGTCTTATTTAAACTACATCATAACCTTTGTTTGATTTTACGATTAATAAATTGTCGCCAGTCTTAAGTCTCCTTGATGCTTCATTATTTTTTTGTCCAAAATCTGTTCCAACTGTCCATTTTTTTGAGTACCTAAAGCAACAGTCCACTAGTATTGATTTTAATCTTATAAAATCATCTGATAAAATTACTAGTTCTGCCATTTGCGCACGAAGTTTTTCGAATGGAATTTTAACATTCATTTCATGAACTGGTTTCTTCAAGTCACAAAGGTTGCAACCTAGTGACAAAGCTTCAAACTCAATATTATTGAGATTAACACTGGAAACATTGTGCACATACTGACCTGGATTAGAAGGAAAATTCATTTCTGGAATCTTTTTGTCTTGGATTTTATTAGGTTTAGTAAGTTTATTTTCTTTGTGAATCAACCACCATCCTTGTACAGTCCAAAACTTGCTGTTTTAAATTATTAAAAAGCTCTTCAACTACATATACTATCTGACATTTTGTAGCATTACAGTAGTATATGAATTTAGTCAATTGATTTGATTTAGTGCTTAAAGTTTAAAAGTCTTTCCATTTGTTCGAACGATGACAAGATCTCCAGAATATATTTGAATACAAATTAGTTTCCATTTACTCCTTTATAAAATCAGCACTTATCTTTGCTTCACTAAGCCTTGCTTTGTACTTTAAATATTCATTACGAACATTTTACAGAATCATGGGCCAAGAAAATTTCAGCATAGTGAAACTTCACATTTTGAAATTTCGTAAAAACATAAATAGATTAGTCTAGATCTATGATGAAAACTGAATGAAAAGAAATTTATTTTCTCTGTTCGTCTGTTTTTTACATACTTTGTTTTAATATTAATCATAGTTGTATTGAGAGCTATCCAATCGATTATCAGTAGTGATAGCAGCAGTCTAGTCAAATTAAGTTTAGTTATCACAGCTAAATTAATCAAATAATACTTTTTAAATGAACAACAATTAGAATATAAAACAAATAATTAAGATGATGACAATGGTGGATGTGTCGCTCAATTTCGTGGATTAGTTGGAGTTAAACATTAACACTGTTGAATGCCGGCTCAGTGGTCTAGTTGGTTAAGCGCCTGGCGCTAGACTGATAGGTCATGGGCTCAAACCCCGCGAAGCGGGGTCGTGAATGTGCACTGCTGATGAGTCTCACAATAGGACAAAACGGCCGTCCAGTGCTTCCAGGTTTTCCGTGGTGGTCTAGCTTCAACTGACTCATGGTCTCAACTACTGAAAATAATTAAGAAATTGTATTTTCTATTAGTGAACTAAAACTCATGCAAACTACTTAATACCAAAGTAAAACGTGATAAATTCTATTTGAACAATCTATGAATTTACGAAATAAACGTTTCTGTAGATTAGTCACCAACTTTGTGACCATTAAGTTTCAATCTTTTACGCCATTTCAATTGTTATCAAGTAAAGTCTTGTTTGAATGGTAGAATTACTTTTTATCCATAATTTAAAACCATTTTCCTAATTTATTTTGGTAGCAAGAATAATTCAAGAATATTGTGTATCGAAGATCGTAAGAAACAAAATATTTCTTTTCAAAAAACTAAAATATCACAGAGTGTAATGACTACTTATCAACTTAGTAATAGCATAAAAGTGTAATTGTTTATTTACTTGAAAAAGAAATAAACTGAAAATTAACAATGAATTATATGAATTTTGAGTTTGACTGGAAGCGGTCTCATTTATCATAATATTTTTTGAGAATGTAAAATAGTACACTAAGATTTATGCAATAATATTCTTTGTTAATGAAAAATAGTGTTAGTAAATCTCTATACGGATAAGCTGCCTACGTTTGATGGTGGATAAAAATATCTGAATATATTTAGTGTAATACATGGGAATAAATGCACCATTATTGTAGAGATGAAACTTATAATATATTATACAACATAATCAAAAACTAGGAAAATATTTAAAGAAACATTTATTCATAATTATTTGGCATCGTTACGTATTATTATTGATTTTGCTAATAATAGTACACTGACAGGTGAAATGATTTAGTGGAATTCGTCTAAAACAATTTTTGTATCATTGCTAACTTTGATGGTGATATAAAACTAACTGTATACTTGAGATAACATGTAAATAGAAATGCAATAAAGGAACATAAATACTTTTGTTTTGTTTTTTATATTTATAGTTTATATCATGAACCAACTTCAACTAGAATATCGTTAGATAAGTGAAAACAATTGGATTGTTATTTCGTTCTTATATTGGTCTTAGGCGTAATCACGATGGAAATCCTGTCTGATAGGTCTCTTTTGAGTTACGAGTAAGACAGATACCTACCAAAAAATGCGAATAATGTTGTACGTATATCGTGAAGATCCTGGCTTTTGCTCACTAAAAAAATAGCTGCTTCGTGTTTCCTTAATTCTAACAATTATCTGGTTAGCATTAATCCATTATAAAATGTACAGACTGAAGAGTTCCAATAAACATGCCTGTGTTAATCATTATTATCTGTTGACTATTTGAAGAACGTCATAATTTTGGTCGATCAGATGCTGTGGCTATTTAGCTGAAAACAAAGGTTCTGGCATATAATAGTCATCGTCAAATTTAATTTACAAAACAATAAAAACGTGTGTGTTTAAGCGATTTGTCATATTGGACTTATTCATTTTTTCTATTAAAACGTCATTCTCGTAAAATTGACTCGAAATTCATAAAAATCAATGTTAAATAAAATGGACTCTTGTGATTGTCAGATAATACATATAATATCTTGTCTTTTGTGGTTTGGGCGTAAAATATGAAACAGACACATTACGATCCTATTTGTAAGGTATGTTTCTACATGATGATGTTATACTTACTGATTCACATGACTATAAATGAGCAAAAATTTACTGGAAAATAAATCAGTACAAGCTTACCATCGTGTAATATATCAACATAATTTAAATTTTAGTTGAGATCAAGAATCGATCAATTTTAGACCATCATTGAAAACCTGGAAATACTGGACGGTCGTTTCGTCCCAGTCTGGAACTCCTCAACAGTCCACATGCATGATTCCGAACGTGGGACTCTAACCCTGTGCCTTCGGTCTCGTGCACTAACTTATGACTTCCAGACCATTGAGCCGGCTTCCAACTTCAATTTA